TTTGATAATTATATATATTTATTATTATTCAAAATCCAAGCTGATATTTAAACAAAACCATGTAAATTCAGTTAGAAATTACCTAAACAATTAATTAAAGGACGGTGATAGGAGGGTTGATGTGATAACAGATAATTGGTCTCTTCAGTTAAGCCAAACTTCAAGATTAAAAAAGAGATGCCTCACTTCAGAGAATATTTTTTTTAAAGATTTTATTTATTTATTTGAGAGAGAGAATGAGATAGAGAGAGCATGAGAGGGAGGAGGGTCAGAGGGAGAAGGAGACTCCCTGCTAAGCAGGGAGCCCGATGCGGGACTCGATCCAGGGACTCCAGGATCATGACCTGAGCCGAAGGCAGTCGCTTAACCAACTGAGCCACCCAGGCGCCCATCAGAGAATATTTTTAAAGTTTAAAAAAACTAATGTGGAAAGAGTGCATAGGTTGATTACTTAACCTATATCTGTACCTCAGGCATCCTGGAAACATAAATATGTGCTTGGTAAAAAAATACCGCCAAAGTTGGAGAATAGAACAAGCGGAGCAATCACTATTATGATTTATGAATTTATTGATTTTATGTTATGAAATTTGAAAGAGAGGAAAAAATATACAGGAGTTTCAATGATTTTGAAGATTTTGCCTTAGGACTAAAAAATACTTTTCCTATAAGATTGGTACCCACAAATAAACTTATTTTTTGTGCTTCCATAGTAGAGATCATGTAAGTTAGGGAAAACCAACCACAGCCTCCATGCTGAACAGCAAGTAAAATAGACTTATTTAGTGACCACTGTTTGAAGGATTTAGGGATCCCTAGCTCTGACCTCATACAATTTGATGTTAACATTTTGAAATACATGACCCTTGAATTTTTATCCAAGGCAGACATTTTAATGTTTACGTTCAAATAAACTCAAATGCTGAGGAGAAAAGTTTCTGGCACTATGTGCCTTTACTATAATTATGATATCATTTTGTTTTGGAAAATTAGGGTGCATTTTCCTTTAAGAATACCGCTCAATGCCACAGGATGTAAAATACAGGCACAGAGCACAAAGTACAGGAACAGCATGGAGAATTTATGGGAACAGGCTGAGATCATGAAAAGGCTACTAGAACATAGTCCATGAAGACGTGGACGCACAACTAACACTCGGAGTATCATCAAGGTTACAGAGGATGGTCATGGAAGAAGAGGACCCCAGAACCTTCTATCAGGCGGATCCTGTTGTGTTGCTACTATTATTACATTGTAAGCATTGAATGTACAAGTGTTACCAATAATTTCTAAAAGTAATACAACATACAGTGTGTTTAAAACATAGGCTATTTCAACCATAAACCTCATGTCTATTGATTAAAGGTAAGAGAAATACTATACTCTGTTGCATTGGCATCAAAATTCAAGGGAGAGAATGTAAAGTAACTATTTTCATTAAAAAGCTCATGTGTGCACAATAGATTCTTCCTATATGCAGATGGGAAGAAATGGAAGTCTTTGGGCCAAAGAAGCAAAACTGGTAAGTTAGGTTAAGTTCTCGCGGTGCTGGTGAACTTTTAAAAGTGGAATCAGTTGCCAACATTTAATATAATTAAAATGTAAATTGTAATTAAATCATGACAGTCTCATCCATTTAAATTTACCTACCTGGCTCCTGTAGCATTTGAGTTGGAGATCCCTGTTTTATGGGGCGAGGGGTGGGGCAGTGGGGTGGGAGTCTAATAATCCCTTCCAGAAGAAAATGGTGGAATCTTGGAAGATTATACTGTTTGCCTTGACACTGTTTGGATTATGTCTGTATTGATACCAGTATTCTTAAAAGATATAGAAATCATTATTAATCAACTGTAAACTAAGGGATTTAATTTCAGGAATAATAAAACCATATGCAAGCATATAGGCTTAAATATATTAGGACAGGTGTGACCATTAACTCTGAAGGTTTATTGAATGTTTGGGATCACAGAGATAAGACTTGAATAGGGCAAGCTGTCCTAAACTGGTGTTAAATGTTACATTTCAAAAGCAAAATTCAATACCATTTTAAAAGCTGAGTTTCTAAAGCATTAGTTTGTGTTAAAATTCAGCAGAAAGCTGAACTCACTTTAGAAGAAACATTGAAGAAAAGGAACACATTTTGATTAGTAACAAGATTATCTAACACAGATCAGTTGGTACTTAAATACTTATAAGTTGTAAAGTCCCAACTGTTTTTGCAAGACTTATTACATATGCCTCCTCTCTCCTGAAATGTAGCAGGGAACATTTGGTGACTCTGAGTGGGAGCAGGGAAGAATTGAGAGATCTGGTCATCAAAATCCGCAAGAAGGATTATTTATGGATGCCTTTGGAGTATATACTCATTAAGAGCCATCACTTGTCAAGAAATACCTGTGCACCACATAACTACTAGAATTATGAATCGTACTGCCAGACAGACCTCTTTTCAACCAGATTTGCTTTTCCTGCTCTCTTGAGCTGCTCTGAATCTGAACAGGTGTGTATAGGTGGGCTGCCACAGGTACAGAATTTGTCAGTGACGTCACAACTGAAAACTCTGCAAAAAGGGGAGGAAAATGATAAAACTTAGGCTGATGCCACTGCGTGGGGCGGATGATGAGGACATATGGACCAGACCAAGCAGAAGCATCATCAGAAGCATCCTTTGGAGAGCTGCCCTCACCCCAACAAGATGTATTGGACTCCAAACGGTAAGAGTGCCCCCAGCACTGTGGACTTAGTTCCTGAACCAGATCCGAGTTGCATCATGTTCTGAACTCTGTGCATGCTATTCCCTGTGCCTAAGAACTTGCTCCCTCTCCCCTACTTTCTCTGTTTGACTACTTCTTGTTCATCCTTGAGATCTCAGCTTGAATATTACTACCTCTGGGAATCCACCTTGACCTCCCTGACTAAGATAGATGCCCCCTTGTTATTGTGCCCACAATCCCTCCAGGACTTGAAAAGCACTGATCACACTGAATAGTAACCCCTTGTTTACTATCCCCTCATAGCTCCAGAGCTCAATGAGGCCAGATGCCAGGCCTGCCTTGCTCACATCTCTATTCCTAATGTGGAATAATTTACTCAGAAGATGCTGGTTGGATGGTTGAATAAACTACAGCTCAACCCGTCTGCTTCTTGGCTCACTCACATACTCTAAACTGGCCTCTGAGCTGTGGGAGTAGTTAATGTTTGTGGACAAGGCTTAGAAGATGACCAACAATGGCCAACAATGGCCTTGATGCCTAACAGAGCTTCCCAAAAGGCAGAAATTCTTGGGACGAGTGAACCAGAGCTTCCATATGGAGGCTGGAACTTCTCAAAAACCTGTCTGGAGGGGCGCCTGGGTGGCTCAGTCATTAAGCGTCTGCCTTCGGCTCAGGTCATGATCCCAGGGTCCCGGGATTGAGCCCTGCATCGGGCTCCCTGCTCAGCGGGAAGCCTGCTTCTCCCTCTCACACTCCCCTTGTTTGTGTTCCCTCTCTCGCTCTCTCTCTCTCAAATAAATAAATAAAATCTTAAAAAAAAAAACCTGTCTGGAAAGAATGAAGTGGGAAAGGAGGATACATGTCTGAAGGGAAGGAGATACCTCCTTGGAAATATCTCTTCAAGGCAAAGTAGAACTGATAATATCTTGACCTCAAATTGAGAATCAGAGACCAGAGGTCAGATAATCTAAAAGGATAAAGGAAGGATTTCATGGAGGGAAGAACTCCACAATGGACCCATGAAGCTACCAGAGCCCCTTGTAAGTGCAGACAGGGAGCATGAAGTCTGAGAGGATGTGCAGAATTAGTAGGAGTTAATAAAGGCCTGTCAACAGGGTTCCATTCTCTCCCTGATCCGTGGGCAGCTTCTTCCACCTAACAACACCATGACTGATCTTGGGTAAGGCAGGGAGAGAATCTTACCCAAGGCAGAGAGTCAGCAGACATCAGGGCTATAAGCAGATATCCTGCTTATATGATATAAGACCCAAGGGTGAGAAAGACACCAAAGAACTGACACCAGAAGCTAGCATCACTTTTCCAGTATGGAAGCTGGCTGGAATGTAGCTGGTTGTCAGAAAGCACAGGCTTTCTACCCCTCCTGTTGTTAAGAAGCATTGGTCTTTCTGCACCAGGAAAGAGTGCTGCTAAAAAGAAAAACCTTCAAAGACTTGCCATGGTCCTCAGTATAGAGTCAAATTCCTTCACATGGCCTGCAAATTCTGTCTTACCAGACTCATCTTTTACCACAAGTAAACGGGCAATTGCAGTGAAGAAATGAGTGGCCCCAGTGCAGAGTGGACTGGGTCCCCTCTGATCAGAAGAATATGAAAAAAGAGAATAATTCCAGCCTGGTTTTTCAAACAAATCTGGAAGTTCCACCTGAAAAAACAGGAATGAACTCTCTCTAGGGCAAGGTGACAAGAGCCCCCTTCTTTATCTCCAGCATCTTCTTAGGCTGTTCCTGCTTCTTTTGAGTCTAGGGACCTTGGGAGCCCATCCCTCCTCAGTCTGAGCTGGGAAGACTGAGCTGTTTCTGGTGCTGAGCAACTCTGGGACCCACTTTCCCCCAACCCAAGGAAGCTCTACTAATAAACCATGGGTACGACTGACTCAAGGAGTAGGCCCACCATCCCCTACATGGGTGATACCCTGAGGTTTGTCACATAGGGAAGTTACCTCCTCGGCCCTCACTGGCAGCCGGCTTCACTTGGATCGGACGATTCATCTGAAAGACATTGGACCAACACACCCAGTCAGCATGACTGCCTGGTCCTGGCACCCTGCTTCTCTTCCCCTGGATGCATCAGGATCTAAGCCCTGGCCCCTTCGAACTCTGTACTCCACCTCTCTCATGATGGACTATAGATTTTCTCCAAGATTCTTCCTTAAACTAGGGAATTCAGAAGGTGCTGAAACCCGAAGGGTGGGGTGATAGGAAGCTTGGTGGCAAGCCAGGATGGACCGTGATGGCTAAAGAGATTCTGCTTTGGGCCCTGGCCTGGGACTACGTGAGGCCTGTCCCTCTGGCTCCTGGACCTCCTTAAAGGCTTTGGGTAAGGAGTTGGGTGGGAGGGTAGAGTGGATACTGAAGATTTGTGTTTTGTTCTAAAACTGAGAATATAATTCTATATGTCATTTAGATTAAACAATCTGGGAATCAGACTTAGTGCTGTCTAGCCCAACTCTGCCTTTTCATGGTTGTATGACTTCAAGTAAGCCACCCTCTCTCAGAGTCAGCTTGTTAAATGGGGGAAAACCTTCCCCAGCTTCTGTGTCGCCACAGTTTCTACACTCACCCCCTCAGTTCCCTCCCTGAGCCCCTCTTCCCTTGAGGATGCTGGCATTCTCCAGCGCACTAACCTCGGCCCTGCTCATCCCGCTGTTCCCATTCTTCCTGGATAGTCTCGCCCACACCCACAGCCTCAGCTACCATTCCCACAGGGCTGACTCAGAGCTCTGCATCCCCAGCCCACACCTCCCTCTTGAGCTTCAGACCCATGTACCCAGCTACTTGCTGGACATCGTGACTAGAAAGTCCCACTGGCATCTTCCACTCAACACACCCATACCAGAGCTTATCTTTTTGCCCGGACCTGATCCTTCCAGTCATCCAAGCTAGAAACCTGGAAAACAGCTTGACTCTTCCCTTTATCCCCTCCCCCACCAACCGATTTCACCTTCTAATTCATGGGTTCCCTGATCAGGGGTGGATAAGAATCGCCTGGGAACCACACCAGACTCTCAAGTTGGGGGATTGTATAATTTGCAAAAGCTCCTAGGTGATTTCGACATACACCCCCACACATTCCCATCCCCCAACCACCCTGAGAGAATTCATGATTGAATCCCCATCTCACCTTCCTCTCATGGGTGTTGTGGGGATCACATGAGATATTGGGGATGCAAAAGATCTTTGTAAACTGCCAAGAGCTGGGTGCGTAGGATGTGAGGAATTATTGTTGGGGGCAGACAGCTGAGTGCCGGGAGGAAAGAACAGCAGCCTTCCCGTTCATGGAGGAAGGGGTACTGATGCCCATCTGGCCTGAGAAGGTGATGATCTGACCCCCTCCCTTCAGGAAATGCACTGTTTCTGCACCAATCAGGGCCACTCCATCCTCTACCAATGTGCTCGTTGCCGAGACAACAGGCAGCTTCCTGTTACCATAGCCACAAGTGCTACCCAGTAACCATGGTAACGCCCTGGCAGTCACAGTTGAGCAATTTCCTTTGGATCAAATTTGGGGGTGGAGGAGTGGGGAGGGCTTATTAAAAAAAAAAAAAAAGGAAAGGAAAAGAAGGAAAGGAAAGGAAAGGAAAGGAAAGGAAAGGAAAGGAAAGGAAAGGAAAACAGGCCAAGCCTGAACCAGCACAATCCCCCTCCCACCCAGGGCTCAGGATCTTATACGCTCTGACACACCCACCCGCTGGTGGTGGAGCCCCTGCCGTGTACCAGGTTGTGGGTGGGGGCCGAGACACCGACAGGACTCAGGCTGCAGTCTAGAGGGGATGACAGATCAATCCAAGCAGATCAGGGCGAGCTGGACAGGTCTGGATTGGCGGGGACCAGGGACCAGGAGGAACGGGAACCGTCCCTGGGCATGGCCACCTGTGATTGTGGAGGAGAGACCAAGAGACAGAGCCATGGAGAGAAGAGAAACAAGTAGAGATGAAGAGACACAAGAAGACAGAAATGATGAGAGAAAGAGACAGACCCAGAAAGCGGCAAGAAAAGAGAGAAATACTGGTGGATATGGGAAGGAAACGAAGGGATAAGGGGTCAGGAAGGGAACACAGGAAAGGCAGGGAGGAGTATGACAGGGGAGAAGGAGAGAGGGGTAGAAGCCTGGGGTGGGGTGCAGTGAGGGTGAGCAAGACCATCATTATTTTATTAGTTCTTAAATAGATCCTGAGAATTTCTCCCTGGAACCTAGAGTGACAAGCACATGTGACAGCAGTGGTTTCCATGGCAGCTGCCTCCCCGGCTGGGTTTCTGGAGAGATGGAGCTCATCAGTGCTCTGGGGGACGCCCCTTTCCCCCTCCCCCGCTCTCTCACTCTTGAATGGAGAGTGGGTATTGGGTGGTATATACATGTTCCATAGACCTGGCAGAGTCCAAGCCTCAGAGTCTGGGCACCTAAGCTTTCCACCACTCGGACATGCTGCCTGCATTTCCTGAACTCTGTGAAGAGCCCCAGGCTGGGCCCTTCATTGGAGACAGCAATGACCCTTGAGATCCTGTCTTCGATGACTTATAGAGCGGAAGATAATGCCACCATTTCCTAAGAGCCATTATGCACCAGGCCCTTTCTGGGACACTTTACATACATTGTCTCTAAATTCCTTCCAACGGCTCTGCAAGGTAATACCATTGTCCCCGTAGTATAGATGCGAAAGCTGAGGCTGAGGGAGGTTAAATCACTTGTCTGAGATCACAGGATGGGTAAGTGGTTGAGCTGGGATTTGTCCCCAGGTCTGTCTGATGCTGAAGACCATGTTTTTGCATTGCGCTGCTCAACTCCACTCTTAAGACATGAACACAAGCAATGAGGCATAGCGTGAGCAGGGCCTTAGGAGGAGTGCAAAGTAGAGTGCTGTAGGAGAGGCTGACTCCACTGGAGAGGTTGACACAGGGAAAGCTTCACAGAGGAGGCAAAGTTTGACCTGGGCCTTGCAGGACTGGGGTCATTGGGCCATGTGGAGATAATGGGAGTGATAGAGCTGGAGGCTGAGCACTCCAGATGGCTGAGGGGTGGAAAGGGAGCTGCAAGTCTGCAGGAGCAAGGATTCTGGTAAGTACCTGGCACGGAGGTAGCCAGGGTAGAGCAAATTGCTTCTGAGTCATATAGATGTGGATTTAAATTGTGGCTCCATCACTGGCAACTTTTCTAAGGTCTTTGAGCCTCAGTATCCACATTAGTAAAAGAGGGAATCATGATCCAACCTGCAGTGTTGTGTTGTGTTTGTTTGTTTGTTTCTTTTTAATGGAAGGGTGTAAAACTAAAAGGTAGCCAATGACCAGATTGGGGCAGATTGTGAAAACCACAACAAGAAATTTTGGCTTTGTTATATTTCAAAGGCAATAGGGATCCAGGGAAGGATATTAAGTGGGGAAAGATCCCATGAGCTGTCACTATGCAGAAAAAAAGATTGGAAAGGGAAAGGTTAGAGGTGGGAAGATCAATGATACAGGTAAGTGGTGAGGGTGACCTGGACCAGGGCAGAAGGAAATGGACAGATTCAAGAGATGTTTAGGATGAATTAACTGGACTAAAGTTCTATTGGATGTGGGAACTGAGGGAGAGAAGGAAATATTGGCTGACTTTTAGGTTTATGGCTTAGGTGTTGAGGAAGTTGGCAGTTTGGGAGTTTGGAGATGCAGGGAAAGTCCCAGGGGAGGAGCCCAAGAGGATGAGGACAGAGTTGGGGAGAGTGGTTCTTCTTTGGTCCCCACTGGGAAGTGGTTAGGGAGGACACCTGGGATTTAGGTATACTCTGTGTGACTGGAGGAGAAAGAGAGCTGGCTGCATGAATTGTCTAAGCAACACTACCCTGCCTCATTCTTGCCACAGCCAGGGGAAGGATGTGGAAGTAGGGTGAGGTAATCACAGTTCCGCCTTGAGGAAAAGAGGGCATTTCATCCTTGGCCAAGAATTTGTCATGGGACCTCAGGTGAGCTCCTGCCCTTGGCTGAGTACCTATTCCCTTGAGAGTTTCCCAGGTAGAGTCCAGGCCCACATCTGCTTCAGGGCCCAGACCTGCCAGGCAAATCAAGGGAGAGAATGTCAGAAAGAGGAGAGAACCTATTCCAGGCAGTGGAGTGGGGAAGTTTGGAGGCAGCACAGACATATATGAGGCCCTGGTACTTTGGCTCCCGTGAGCAGAAGGGAAGGCAAGGCCCTACCCCTTTTCCCTGCTTGACTTGCCTAAAATTCCTGCTTTGGGCTCAGCCTTGCCCTCTTCAGACAATTCTGACTTGATGTCAACTATTCCTTACACTTAGCACTTGTGCCCTCAACCTCTTACCCCCCTTATGGAAAGAATACTTATCAGGATTACTGGTGGGTCTAAGAGAGGTGTCATGGATGCAGGGAAGAGAGAGGCAGAGAAAAAGCAAACTTCACAATTTTCAGCTCTCTGTTCTACCTCACCCTCTCTTCTAATCCAATCCACTGCCAAGTCCCACTAGTTCTAGCATGTATATGGATATCCTAAATAGCTCTTAAGTCTATCCTCTCCTCCCCATTCCTGCCCTATCCCCAGCTCTAGGCCAGCATCATCATTCAGCTGCACTCAAGCAACAGTGTTCTAAAGGATCATCTGCCTCCAGTGTCCCTTTCTCTCTAACCCAACCATCATACTATAGCTGGAATGAACTTTTAAAACCAGTCCCTCACTCTTCCCTGATTAAAATCCACCCATGGTTCCCTATTGCAAGACTCCCAATAAAGCCCAAGATCCTAAGACCGGCAGTCCAAACGTGTGAGTCCTGCCTCTCTTGCTGCCCCAAATACATAATACTCTCCATTCACATGGAGCCTTGGCTGTCTTCATTGGACACCTTTCCTGCCAGTTCTCACACTGTACCCAGAATTCCAGAAACTGCCTTGTCTTTTAGCTTTCTAGACCCTCAAATGTGATGAAATACAGTCATAATTGGGCTCAGGTAGCATTTCCTCTGCAAAGCATCTCCTCTCTCTCTACTCTTGATGCTTCTTTTATGTGCCCAGGTGTAAACTGCACTGAGATGCAATGAGTTATTTTTGGCCTGGAAAAAGCTCCTTGAGGGCAAAGGTTCTGATTTACTCACTAGGCAGCTGCTAGCACATACAGAGCCTTTGTGTGAGTTACAAAAAGGCACTCCCCCAACTCTGTGGATGAATTAGGAAAAAATGTGCCTCTTCCTTTGGACTGACACAGCCCTGTGATAATGTTCATGGCTTGGCCAATAGAGCATGGCTGAATTTTAGCTCCCACTTGCCCTTTCCACACAGCTGTTTTGTGCAGGGCACAACCTGCAAAAGCAAATGCACTCAATCGTCTGTCTCCTTCACAGTGTTTGAAGGGATGAATGCCCAAGGGAAAGGAGGTCATGAGCAGGGAGAGAGACAAGTAGGGGGGCACTCTCTGGGCTAAGGTTGGGCCCACCTTCTTTAGGTAGATTCTGGAGCCTAAAATGAGGCTGTAAGAAGTAGCTTCAGCTTTATGGAGAAGAAGCTACAGAAGATGGGACAGACCATTGAGGTTTAAGGAAGTCCTGAGTAGGGAGCCAAGTTTTGATAGGTAACAGAAATTAGCAGGTACTTGTGGAGGGAAGTCAAAGGGAGGTCCCAGCCCAGTAGATACTATGAAATTGTCCCTAGGGGGTTCAGGCTTTCTCTTGGGGGAGACTCAACCTTTCCTGCTCTCAGAGTGACAGTCCTGGCCTGTCTCTAGTAGGAGCCCAGATTCAAGTCTTTCCCTGCTTCTCCAGCAGATGGCAGCTGTGCCCAGGACCCAGTGCCTACAGGGAGCTGGACACCCTCCTCCCTTCATGCTGGTGGGCCTGAGGCCAGGTGACTAAAGCTGCTGCTGCCCCTGGCAGGCCCAGAGGAAAGACTGATGGCACGGACATTGCTTGGCTGGCCAACAGAGCCATTGATTTTCATTTAGGAGAATAATTAAATATTAATTTTCACTTTGTTAAGCTGGAAAGGGTGAATAAAGCCATCCTGGCAGTACAAAGCCAGGCCATGTTGGAAGCCTGCGGATGAAAGGGTGGGAGAGGGCAGATGTACCCAGTCATGATCCCCTCCAGAACCTTAGACCCCTGTCTGCCACCAGCTTGGCACAAGTAATAATGTAGTGGTTAAGTGAATGAGTTCTGGAGCCAGACTACCTGGATCTTCCCAGATCTTCCTAATAGTAGCTACATAACCTTGGGCAAGTCACTTGTTTCCTTTGACTGAATTTCCTCATCTGTAAAATGGGAAGGCCAATAATACCTTCTTCATAGAGGAATAAATGACTTTGAACATGCAAAATACTAGGAACACTGTCTGGAATCAACAAATGCTAGTTATTATTCTCTTTTCTCCTTCAGAAATTATTCCACTAGTCTAGAGCTTCACAACTCTTATCTCAGGTGCCCTCAGCCTCATACAGTCCTCCCTTTGTGGAGCCCTGTGGCTGGTTGAAGAGGGTTTTGCTTTTTTTTTTTTTAAAGATTTTATTTATTTATTTGACAGAGAGATAGCACAAGTAGGCAGAGAGGCAGGCAGAGGGAGAGGGAGAAGCAGACTCGCCATCGAGCAGGGAGCCCGACGCGGGGCTCGATCCCAGGACCCTGGGATCATGACCTGAGCCGAAGGCAGCCACTCAACTGACTGAGCCACCCAGGCGCCCCCCCCCTTTTTTTTAATTCGAAAGTTCATTTTAATTTTTTCAGGGCTTCCATTTGCTTTCAGGATGAAGTCCAAATCCCACAGCCTGGCATCCAAAGTTTCCTCTTCCACCACTGCCCTCTGGTGGATCTTCTCTCTGGCCTGGCCCATGCTCACACGGGCCCTCCTCCACACTCCCAACCCCATTTCACACCCATCTTGTTCCTTCTGTCTCTGCACCTTTACCATGCTGTTTCCCACATGGAATGTTACAGTTTGTCTCAGTGCCTTTCAGTTTTAGCAGCAGAAGTCATTTACTCCCATGGCTGGATGAGTAATAACTTCTACTTCTACCCCTACGAATGCTGCTGTTACTATTACTACTACTACCACCACAAGCTAACCCATATTGAGTGCTTGTTTTCTACCAAGAACTGTGCCAAGTACTTTATGTGAGTTAGTTCATTTAATTATTATAACAATTCTATGAATTCGGTTTTACATAGGAGGATGCTTAGGCTTAGAAGTAAAGACTTGCCATAGGCCATACACAGAGTTAGTGAGTGGTAGGGCCTGGATCCACACCCAGGTCTGTCTGACTCCAGAGCCTATACACAGAGACTTGGTGAGGGTAATACACTGGTGTTACTTGACGCTGAGTCTTCAAGCGTGAGGCTCAAGATGCTTCAATTACTGGGACTGGTCCTACGAGCTGATGGTCTACTAACAGCTTGATCAGCTCTAGGCAAAGCTTGTGCCATTGCTGGACAGCTTCAATTCAGAAAAGTGATATCTTTATACTGAGCTGAAATTAGAGTGCCTGTTCTTTATACCCACTGATCTTTTCTGATCCTGCCCTCTAGAGCCACCCATGGAAAACCAAATCCCTCTTCAGAATCTGAAGGTGGTTGCCCCCACCCCAACAGTAATATTTATTGAGATCTTACTCTGTGCCAGGTACTTGCTAAGCCTCAGTTAATCCTCATGATAGCCCAGTGAGCTCTTAGTATAACCCACTCCTTATAGATGAGGAAATTGAAGCTCAAGAGTCTAAGTAATGTATCTGGAGACACAAAACTTAAATGACAAAACTGGGATTCAAATCTAGATTTGTGAGAATCAAAAAGTAGTATTTTTAATCATCACATTGTGATGCCTCCCTATTAAAGCTCCCATTAAACCCTATCTTCTCCAGCCAAATATCTCCAATTTCTTCAAACCATCATCCATGACATATTTTATGTCCCCATCCCATCCTGGTCACTTTCTGATAGGCTAATGATCCTCTTAAGTCTGAAGCTTAAAACTGGATATAGTCCCAGGCTTGGCCTGCTCAGGGCATTTGAATAGTGCTTTTGTTGTAGACACATCACTCCTTTGACAAGAGAAAATGAGGCTCTGTTGTACGATTTGCTCTTGGTGAACCCACACTAGTTCCTAACAGTCACCATTCTCTTCCTCTCACATGGTCCATAGGTCCCACTTTGCTTTTTGTCCAGTGATTAGCCATTAGCTAAGGCCATACCAGGTGCCATTGATATATAATGGCCTAACTGCACACATATAATCAGGTCCTCTTAGCTTTAACCAAGTGTTTGGGGGAAAGCAATCTTGGTGAGTCAAGGCACCAAAAAAAAAAAAAAAAAAGAAATTACAGGAAGAGGACAGAGAGAAGTGCTATAAAGGACCCTAGAACTGGAAAAAATAGGATACCAGCCCAGCAGAGTCTCTACCCCATGTATCTGCATATATTCTCACACCAGGGACAAATGATACATTAAGCCATGATTTTAGCCAAGGCTGACAAATTCTAGCATAGCCCACAACACTGAGGCCTCTCTGAAAAGATACGGTGGAACATTTGGCCCAAGTGTTAAGCCCATTTCTTTGAGCCAGAAGACTAAATATAACAAAGAACCTATAGCTGTTCAGGGCACAGGTAAGCCAACTCTTAGAAAGGTGACTCTGCTTCTAGTTCCTGGTCCCAACCCAGCCCCTACATGCTACTTTGGCATGCACATAGGGCATGTCCCCAGCCTGAGGTGATCCCCACCCCCCAACCCTGGTGGACTTACCCCTGGCAGGGTCTTCTGCTCGTGCAGTGCACTCTGGGCCTTGAGAGCAGAGTCCCGGGCGCAGTAGGTGAGGAAGGCACAGCCTGGGGAGGAAGAGGCTGGCTCAGGGGGTTTCCTGAAACCCCCAAATACTCTTCCTGGAAAGACTCCATTAAGTGACAAACTCAAGGCCACTCTCCTTTAACAAGGGCACTGCTCTGAGAAGCCTTGTTTGCCTCCCACCTTCCTGAAGGGAGGGGCTTCATGTGTTTGAGTCCCAGACTCTGGCTCCCTCTCATTTGCTCCTGGCTTCTTGCCTAGGGAACATGTGTACCCACATCCAGCCACATGCTCATACAATCCCACATCTTCCCTCCCCACTCCAGCCATAAGTCCGGTTGGGGTTAAACCTCCCTAAGCAGCTTTGCCTTCAGCTTTAACCCCAGCCTCTCCCTTCCTTTTTGGATTCATACTCACAGAGTCTCCCAGAATCAACCTCAATTCCTTCCCAACTCAGTTTCAGATGGGAGGAGGCAAAAAAGAGGAAGAGGGTTGGGAGCCAAACCCAGGACCCCACAACTTCTTCTTAATGCCTCCCTCCTCCACGTTTGAAGCTGAGGAATGGGTTAATTTGAGGCTTGCAAGATGGGGCTGATTTAAGGACTTTCTGTAGAGAGGAGCTTTCAGGGACCTCCAATCCTATCCAAGGAGCTTGATCTCTCAGCTCTCCCAGTACTTCAAGATAGGGCCTGTTAAAGGGTTATTGTGCCCCAAATCTTACTTCTCTAAAAGAGCCAGTAGTTATGGGACAGAGAAGGAGACTAGGTTGAGCCAAAGGATCAGTCCTACTCTTCTTTAGGTTCAGCCTCAGAAACTGTAGCCTGCTAGGACGCACTGAGGCAGGGTTCTCCTCTTTTCCAACAGTCATTGAGCACTCACTCATTCAGAAAATATTTGTTGAATACTTATTACAGTGGGGCATTATAACGGGCTTGGGGATGAAGTGGTAACAAGACAGACACGTCCCCTACTCCCATGGGGATTATGTAAAGAATCATGAGGGGAATGTAATTTGAGTCCAAAGGTTGAGGAATGCTTCAAAGGACACATTGAATCCTCGATAGCAAATAGGGCTTAACCAGGTGACAAGAAGAGTGGTGATTATTTCAGGCTGAGGGAATAGCACATATGAAGACTGAGGCAAGAATTTGATGTCTTGGGGAAATGGTTGGAAAACTAGTATGACTGGAGATTGGTGAAAGGAGGCAGAGTGGACGGTGAGGTGTGCAGGGATCAGGTCATCTATAACCTTGTATGCCTCAGTCTGGATTTTGAACTTTTACCTAAGAGCAATGAAGAGCCACTAAAGGATTTTAAGCGGGGATCTGACATGATAAGATCTATGTTTTCAAAAAGAGCCTTCTGAGTGTAGGAAGGAGAAAGACTGAAGGAAGAGAAAGTGGATGTGAGAAGCCATTAGGAGCTTCATGAAGTTTTCTACTTAGACCTCAGCAGACTAGGAAGGCAAATGGAACATTTTTTCTGATGTCTTCTATGTGGCTGCCCCCTTAGGGTGGGTGGCTATCTGTTATTCATTAAATTAAAGGGACCTTAGAGAACACCTGAGACAAACTCCTATTGTATCAATAGGGAAACTGAACGCAGAGAGTCTGTCAGTGGCAGAATAGGGTTTGGAATCTCCTAACTCCTAGGCTGACGTTGTTTTCAAAGCACCGTGGCTGCCTCCCTCAGTTCCCAGTCATCAAAAGGAAAATGAGTCACTCTGGCTTTTGGATATCACTGTTGCTGCGGAGAAAGTGGGGAAGATGTTGATGTGGAGACCCTCCCCAATTATCTTGCAAGGCAACACTGCCTTGGAGAACTTCGGTTTGGTTTGGGGATAAATCACCAAACACCTGATTTTGCTTACATCTCTGCTCCATCTTCTGCCACTCAGCCATATCAGCTGACGTCAGAACTGGGCAGGGCCAGGGCCCTGTCTGAAAGGTTCAGGGGCCCAACTGCTGCCCAAAGGAGCCCCATGTGGACTACTTGGAGTAGGTGGTGGAAGAAGGAGGGATGGAAATACAGAGAAGCATGGCTTGAGGGAGAGACACATGAAAATAAAAGACAGGAAGAATTAGAGCTAAATGGAGAGGGAGAAAAAGGATGAGGGAACAATTCAGAGACTCTGGTGGTATTTGAATGAGAAGAGTGAGAATTAAAGGTATCTTATACACTTCTCTTATTGTACAGATGGCCCAGAAAGATTATCTTGTGCTTACATACTGAAATAAATGTCTAGAAAATAAGAAAGCGAGTTGCTATGGATGGATGGACAGCCAGGCAGTTGGACTGCATTAGAAGGAATCTGGATGGTATAGTCTTATTCTTTCATGCCCCTTTTAAAGTAACCCTACCCCAAAGTATCAAAGACACATTGCTACCTCGCTGGTCCCAGATCTTCTGTGGGCATTTTTGTGAAACCCCTGTGTAAGTGTGCCTAGGAACTTTCCAAGGCCTCCCAGTTGAAAAGAGGTGGTAGCCTGATTCCAACTCTCAGCCCTTAGGAAAGTACCTTTAGCTATTACCCAGGGCCCACCACTTTTCTCCTAGGAAAATCATGGAGAATAGTTGGTGACCCTTCCCCCTCAAATCCTGAAACTGAAGCATGGTGAAGGTGGGGAGAGGTAGAGGTGTCTCTCCTCAAATATTTTCCTTCCCCAGCCCATGTATGACATGTGACTCTGGCTTTCTTACTCTAGCCCAGCCTGGACAGACTTTTCTGCATGTAAACAAGCCTCCTCCCTCTCTCTACAGGAAGAAAGGGGTGTGGCTGGACAGGATTGTGGTGCCTGTCTCTCTAGCAAGGGCAGGGAGAAAATCTCTTCTGCCTCTTCAACCTGACCCACCCTGAGGCTCTGGTTCACAGGCTCTGCTCCGGGACCAGCCTGTGAAGGAGGGAAAGCAGGAGGCCATAAAGAGGATTGGGGAGGGGTAAAGATGAGGCACCAGAGTGGGGAGATTAAAGGATAAAAGAAATGTGGGTTCAGCTGACAGGAAACCTGAAATGAGGGGGCACAAGGTGACAGATTTTCCCAGCTGAGGTCAGGGTTCTGGACTCAAGTCAGAAGAGGCAGAGTGTTGGCATTCTGTCAGGGGGTTGGAGAGATTGGGTTATTGTCAAACGTAAGGGTGGAATTTGGAGCCCAGAGCCTCCTCGAGGAGAATTGGATTTTGTGAGTTAGCCAGGCCTGGATTCTGAAGAAGGGAGGACTTTGGGTTGGGGAGGGGGTGGTTAGCAGTCTGCATCAAAGGAAGGCTCTGTGGGGGTTGACTGAGCTTGGAGGCCAGAATGAGGGGTACAAGTCCAAGATGTGTGTGCGGGTGGTTAGGCCTGAGTGGGGGGCGGCACCAGATTGGGGGAGGTCAGAAATGATTGGGTCCAGGGTTTGGGAGATTGAGGGTGTTAGAGACCAAAAGGTCAAATAAGTTTCCTAATTCCAGGATTTTGGGTGTCTGATGAGAGCGATGGAGGGAGGTCCAACTGAAAGGTCGGGACTGTTGGGATGTGAGAGGTGAAAGGTAGGGAGTTAGAGGTTAGAGTGGAGAACATGTCAGGGGATCATAGTGATGATCAGTGGGAGGATGTCAGAGAGAAAATTCTGGGTTGGGGGTTTTGTGATCTGGGGAGGAGACTGGGCTGAAGTGGGACTGGTATTGGACTGGTGTTGGACTGACTCTAGGCAAAGCTAAGGTTGGGGCTGCGGTTGAGGCTGGGGTTTGGGCCGGGCCCACTCTAATCGGATTGGGGCAGGGCTGGGCTGGGCTGGGCTGGGCTGACCCCGCGCACCTTTGTGGAGGCCGGTGAGCCGGTCCTTCAGCACCGTCAGCTCGTAGATGCGGCCGAATTCCTCGAACAGCGGCTTGAGGTCCTGCTCGTCCAAGCCCCGCGGGATCTGCCCCACGAAGAGCTTGATGGCGTCGTGGTCCTTCATGGGCACGGCAGGACCGGGGTTTAGCCCGCTCATGCCGACGCCGCTGTCCGCGGTGCTGAAACCCAGGCGCGGGCCGGGGCCGGCGGGCGGCGCAGACCCTCCGGGCGCCGCGGCCATATCCCCGCCCGGTCCGCCCTCCCGCC